GAGATAATGGGAGATATATGGACATCCACAAAACTATCATATTCATAACAATAACAAGTTTGTGATAGAGATAAAATGTTGTTAATTTAGAATTAAAATATGTTAACTGTGAAATATATCATGTTAATTTAGAATTCTCTTTGGGTTTTTAATAAAAAAGTCATTATAGTCATTTCATAAAATTTTAATATTCTTCTGGCAAATTTAGTAACCTTAATAAGAATAATTAGGTTATTTAAGTGTTTTTTTAAGAGATTTTCCTATACAAGAATTAGTTCATTTTAAAAAAATAAACTGGATAAGTAGGTTAGAAAGGTTTAATAGGCAAAATATATAAGAGAAAAAGTGAAAAAAATTAATTAGAAACATTTAACCACACGTTCCATTTTTTTAAAATCAAATTCATTAAAATCTCTCATTACCATGCTCTTATTCCTCTCAAACCAAACAGACTCTAAAACTAATTAAATTCAAATACTCAATGAATATTAATTATATAAATTTATAAAACAGTATATAGTATCCGGAACAACAACAACATATTTGTGCATGGGGAAAAAAATAAGCATATGATGCATTCTGGTAAAATATTGATCTAAACTGCAATGAATTCAGTACCACAAACCATCCTATTCCTTCGTTAAAATCCATCAGAAATGAAACAAACAGGGAAGAAGGAAAAAAATTAACTTCACCTGCTTTTGTTTGCTGATTTGCTCTCATATGGATATAAAACTAAGCTATTGTTATAATCCATAATCCATATATCTAATTAAGGATAGCAACCTGAAATTAGAGACATACACGCATGTGCACATATCTATAGACGTTAAATAAAACTAAAAATATTCGGCGGTGAATGTTTGCCGCATTCATCATCATTCTGAATAGCATCTCAAAGAGGCATCAAAAGATTTTGAACAATCAAATCATCTTCCACCAAAAGTACTTAAACAAGGTTCTTGGTGAATGTTGCCGACTGTGGTGGGGGGCTTTCCACATAATTTAAAATTCCAAAGCCACAAATAATAACATTGTTTATAACAAACTTTTTAAATTCATTAGTAGTGAGATTCAACAAATATAAAGTTCTTCCTCCATCCTTCAAGGGTTCATCACCATATTTTTCAGTTCTCCAAACGGATTCATTGAGAGGACAAACTGTGCAAACAATGTCAATCCTCCAAATCTTCAGTGGAGTTAAATAGTATGGATAGAGAATGGAGCTGCTTCTAAATATTTTAGTCCAAGTCCATCTCTCTCCTCCAGATGCACATGATGTATTCTCCTCAACCACCCACAAATGAATGAAACCATATTTAGAGTTTCCTATCTCTCTGCAAGAAAGAATAGCTGGTTTGTTCTCATAAAAGGTCGGAATAGAAGTTGACCAAAGGTGCAAAGTAGATGTTGGTATTAATTTGAACACTTCCATTGCTATGTCAAATGATACTGTCATATGGCCATCATCATTCGAATTTTGCGCAAGCCAAATAATGGTTCCATTATTATGAGTGGCAGCTTCACAATAAATACGTAGATCCTTTAATGTGTTCCCAAATTCCACAGCTTTCCACAACCCTGTGCGTAATGAATACACTAAGATTTCATTCACACCCCTCTTGTAGACCGAATATGAACACCTAATCGGATCACTATAATACCCAGAAAAAGGAAATACTAATTATCTTGTAATCATTAGTAATCGTAGTGTACCCAAATCCTATAGACACCTGCCTCCTGGGATAATAGTAATCGATCATAGGTGGGTTATGGACTTCACGGAGTAGAAAGTCGCAATTGAATAAGCGTAAGTAAAACTGGTTATTTCTCTGATAGAGTTGTTAGAGAAGAAAAGGAGGTCGATGATGACTGGAGTGGCGGAGGTTATCCGCAATGAACAATGGATCCTTCACGAGATTTTTCCAGTTTTTGGAGACACAATGAAATCGAATTAGGGATTTTACGGAAGTCTCTTGAGAATGTTGACGATGATCTGCTGGGGCAAAAAGCACTGCTGGCTTCCATTCCAATGGCTTCACCGTGTTTTGGATAGTTTTAGGGTTTAGGAAATTTGAGTGCTGTTTGACCAGTAGCATTAATAAATGGAAGAATTTCACAACAATCCCCCTGTAGCTATTTATTATCCATACCCTCCCCTCAAAAAATTATGAAATTTCACTGTACCTCTTGAATAAAAATGAAATTAAATTTTATTGGTCAAAAGATATTTTTGTGTTTGTGTTCTTGCTTTACAAACAAAAAAAATTTCTGTTTCTCATAAATGGCCTACTTTTTGTTGTAGTTTCCTTACGTGTTATTAATTTCTTTCTCTTAAATCTTCTAATTTTCGTTGTAAATTTTCCCATATATCTTATAAATCAGCAATAGATGATCCTTTTTTGAAAAAATAAAATAAAAAGCATAAATGTTTTTCCACCGACACAATTTAATTTCATTTTGGTCTAGGGTTACGGTGAAATTTCATAGTGTTTTGGGACTTTAAGATGTTAAACAGCTATAGAGAGGCGCAGCGAAATTTTCCCTTGAAAATTTGTTACATATCAGGAGAATTAAATGAATCATATCTTAAATATTCTGTATTCCTTAAATATTCTGAATACATAATCCCACCATTAATTATAAAAATAATTTGAGCTATATTTTATTTTAATATATTTATATCTTTATTTATAGAATATATAAAGTGATTGGGTTGAAATTTAAATGTCAACGATTATTCATTATAATCCTAATTGTGTATTTTAACAAAAACAAAAGAAGTTAAGCAACGAGCATTCAATCTATCTATCTATTATAATATATAAATCAAAATTAGACTGTGGTTTGAACTATTGTGAAACAAAAAATAAAACCTATAGCGAAAAGGATTTTTATAATTCTGTTCTTCAAGAACTGTTTCCTATGGGTTATAAGTTATAACAATGTGCTTTCAAAATCACGTTTAACAATTGATTTTTTTGGCTGGAAGTTTAATAATTGATTTTAAATTAATATGAAAATAGCATAGTTAATCAAGGTTTTTTTGTTTGATTGATTATATCTAACTATGATGCGAACAATATCAAAATAAATTAATCATGTTCTTTTTTCGATGTTTATAACTAACTAAGACGTTATAAATAAATTTCATATCATAACTTATCAATAAAATATAACTTCATTTTATATCCACGCTAATTTTATATAACTTTAAATAGAATTTGTCTCATTATTTTCGGGATTATTTTTTGCCAACCATTTTTGGGATGATTATTTATCCATAGGTCCTCATAATTTAAATTCATTTTAATCAAGTATTTCTGATGTTTTTATTGGGTCCTTATATTTTAATCAATTGCAAGCATAAATCCCTATACTCATAATTTGTTAATTTGTAAAAAAAAAATAATGCTAGTAAGTGATGATGTGGTTTTACCCAATATGCACTTAGGTTAATTTTTCCACATGAATCTAAACAAAGTTAGAATCAATAAGATTACATATTATATGCAGATTCAAGGACATGACTACGAGTATAATAATTTTTAATATATTGATAATAAATAAATTTTATTCTAGATTTTTTTATTTTGTAAGACCTCAATAAAAAAACTACAAAAACCACGTAAAACTATGAGAATGTACAGATAATTTTCCCTTATTATTACTCATCGGTAATGCTTATTTTGAGTTACTGATTTGCAAAGTTTCGAGAAATTGATCTATTCACATATTGCAAAGCTTTGGGTCATATAAAAAAAGATTGAAAAGAACGCATAACTAGTTAGCTTTCAAACGTACTCTCCATATTTTTTTAAAATTGAACTTATTAAAATCTCTTATCCTCTCCCTCTCATTTCGCTCAAATCAAACAAATCATAAAAACTAATCGAAGTTAAATCCTGAGTAAGTATTAATTTGATAGTTTTGCGAAAAGTAATAGTGTAGACTGTAGAGGGTAGAAGAACATTTTTGTGCAGGCAAAAAATAGGAATATGATTCGTTCGAGATAAATGATCTAAACTGCAATGAATTCAGTTCCACAAACCAACATATTTTTTTCATTAATCAAATGCATCTGAAATGAAATGAACAGGAATAAAAGTATTTTTAAAAAAAATTCACTTCACTTGCTTTTGTGTGCTCTCATGATATATAACTATTGGTATAATCCATGGATCCTGGATAATTCACACACCAGCAATCTTATCTTGGAAAAATAAAGGTAATATATGGACATAACATATCTATATGACAAATAAAACTTTTTTAAAAAATATTTGGTAGTGAATATCTGCTGCATTCATATCATTCTGAATAACATCTCAAAAGGGCATAAAAATTTTTTAACAATCAAATGATCTTCCACCAACAGTGCTTAAACAAATTATAAAGAAAGCTTACAATGTAACAACTAAGATTTAGGATCAAGATTCTTCAATGTGAAACCAACTGGCACAAGGCTTTCCACATGATTTAAGATTCCACCAACATAACCAGAATTGTTGAGAACAAACTTCTTAAATTCATCAGTAGTGAGATTCAACAAGATCAAAGTTCTTCGTTCTTTATCTTCCATCAACGCTTCTTCATATTCAGCGGTTTTTGTTTCATCCATCTCCACTTTACATTGAGTTCTCCAAACACTTTTAGCCAGTACTTCAACTTCGCAAACAATTTCATTCCTCCAAATAGTTTGTGGAATTAAGAAATATGGATAGAGATAGGGACTGCCGCTAGATTTCTTAGTCCAAGTATTCTCCTCATCAATCACCCACAAATGAATTAAACAAGATTCAAAGGTCTCTATCTTGCAGTAAGAAAGAAGAGCTAGTTTGTTGTCATATACAGTAGGAATATTAATTGACCTAGGATGTAAATTTGGCATTGGTATTAATGTAAAGGCTTCCATTGCTACGTCAAATGAAACTATCATGGGACACTGATCATTCTGCTTTTTGCCAACCCAAAAAATGGCTCCATTACTAGTGGCTGCTTCACAATATATATCTAGACCCTCTAAGATCCCAAATTCTACTTCTTTCCATAACCCTGAGACCAATGAATACACTTCCACTCCATTCACACACATTGCGCCAAAAATCAAAATCCCCATAACCATAAATATTAACTATCTTGTAATCATTAGCAATCATACTGAACCCAAATCCTATAGTGTAATCACCTCTAAATTCAATTGTCGTGGGCACCATTTTAAGCTCTCTAGTAGCTGGATTCCACAATACAAAAGTATGAGGATGTCCAAAATCCGAGAATTGAATGCAGAGCAAGCCGTTGCTGGAACCGACAATCTCAACGTCTCTAACATCTGCCCAAGTCCTAACAATCGACCGGGAATCAATCAAAGGTGCGTTAGGAACTTCGCTGAGTTGAAAATCGCAATCGAATGAACATAGCTGCAACGTTTTGTTTCCGTTAAAGGGGAGGAGAAGAGAAGGTAGATGAATGTTGGAGTGATGGAGGTGATCTGTAATGAACAATGGATCCTTCAAGAGATTTTTCCAGTTTTTACAGACACACTGAAATCGGATTAGGGATTTTACGGGAAGTCTCTTGAGAATGTTGATGATGATCTCATGAGGCAAAAAAGTGTTGTTGCCTTCCATTCCCGTCACTTCGCAGAGTTTAACGTCGACGGACGGCATCTCCGTTAGACAAAAGACACAGCGGTCGACATTTAGAGGTGTTCTTGATGGCTAGGGTTTGTTGGCTTCAGCTTCTGGAGAGTTCTTGATACGTGAATCATTTGATTGGTCCATCTGATTGATTGGTCCATCTGATTGATACGTGAATTTTGTTTTTTGGGCAGAATGATACGTGAATCATTTTAATATCTTCATTTTATATGGACAATAATTTATATAACTTTAAATGGAATTTGTCTCATTATTTTTTGGACAATCAATTCATAAGTCCTTCAGGCCAAAAAAAAATCATAAGTCCTTATAGTTTTAACTAATTTAATCAGGTGTTTATAATTTTTTTAAATAAATTCTCACCAACATATATGTGGATTAATTTTACCACATGGATTTAAACAAAATCAAAATCAATGAGATTGTAGATTTTATATAGATGGAAGGAGATGATTATAAATATAATATTTTTTTTAAGTGTCGGTTATACTCACTAGGATAAAAAAGATTAGTGTGATTTTATTTTCAAATATTATTCATTATTAATATAAATGTGCATTTTATTTTATAAGAAGTCAAGTAACTGTTAAGATATATGTCAAATTTAGGTGAAATTTTAAACACTAGAGTTTTAAAAGAATCATCATAATGAGGTTCGTGTAATTCATTTCTCCTTTCAGTTGGCTTTTTTGTTTTTGTTTTTTAAAGCACAAGTATTTTTCTATTGGAGACTTGTTCATATCACCTCTCAATTTGGAGGTAGTCCGCACCAAATATGGGAGGTCTTACATTCCAAAGCCTAAACACATACAGAAAATGTATAACAAACATTTTTACTGTAATCATAAATAGAAGTGTCTCGCTTGCCAAAACATACATACATTTACACATTTTTCATATGATCAAAATATGAACCATTTTGTAGAAATTTCAGCAGAGTCTCCACTATAAGTTAGAATTCCTGAAAATTCTACAAAAGCCTGTAAAATTTAGAACAGTGTATGGAGCTCTGCGCCCAGCACAAATATACATAAATATAATTGAAAACAACTCACAGTGTATGGTTAGGGTTTGCTGGCTTCAGCTTCTGGAGAGTCGGTGCAGGAATATATATATATATATATATATATATATATTTATATATATGAGTTGTTTCCACATCAACGGCATTTTAGTGCGGTTTGACCAGTCGTATTAATAAATGCAAGAATTTGATTGCAACCCATCTGTAGCTATTCATTATCCAAATACCCCAAAATATTTTGAAATTTCACTGCATTCTCTTAAACAAAAATAAAATAAAATTTTACAAGTTGAAAGATATTTGTATCCTTGCTTTACAAACAAAAATAATTTTTGTTTCTTGTAAACCACTTACTTTTCATTATAAATCTCTCGTGTTTCTTATAAATTGCCTAATTTTTATTATAATTTCTTGTTGCTATTTTTTATATTTCTTTTAAATCATATAATTTTTGTTATAAATACCCCTATGTCTATTGTAAATTGATTGTAGCTGATCCTATTTTGAAAAAAATAAAGAAAAGATATAAATGTCTTTTTACCCACAATGTTTAATTTCATTTTATTCAATGCTGTGGTGAAATTTCGTAATGTTTTGAGGCTTTTAGATATTGAATATCTATAAAGGGGTGCGTTGAAATTTTCCCTTAATAAATTATCAAATATATATCAGAAGAATTAAATGAATCACATCTTAAATACTCCGTATTCCATAAATAGTTAAATACATAATCCGCCCATTCTAAAAATAATTTGATCTAGTGTGTCAAAAAAAATTGATCTTTATTTTATTTGAATATATATTTATAGAATATATATATATATAGAAAGTAATTGGTTGGAAATTTAATTTTCAAATATTATTTTATAATTTTGTGCTTCAAGAACCTGTTTCTCATAGGTTATAACAATATCTTTCAAAATCAAGTACAATAATTGATTTTAAATTAGTATTAAAATAATATAGTTAACGTAAGTTTTTGTTTTGATCGACCATATCTAAGTATATGATGTGAACAATAACAAAATAAATTAATCTTAATATATATATTTTTGGATGCTTAAAATTTCTAAATAACTAAGACGTTATGAATAAATTTCATATCATAAATTATCAATAACATAATATATTTCATTATTAATTTATCCGTACCTCCTGTGCAATATATCACTCATAAAATATCTACTATGATCTTTTTCCATTACCTTCTCTAATAAAATCTTATTTCTAATTTTACAAATTTATGGGGCTATCAAAGAAAATCATTTGATTGACATGTGAATCATTTGAATAACTGCACTAACCTTATATAACTTCATTTTATATCTAGGCTAATTTTATATAACTTTAAATAGAATTTGTCGTCTCATTATTTCTGGGTATGATTAATCCATAGATCCTCATTCAACTAATTTTAATCAGGTCTTTATAAAGGTCTTTATAATTTTTTTCATTGGGTTCTTACATTTTACTCAATCATAGGGATAGATCCCCACACTAATTATTGCTGATTTGGAAGAGAATTAACGTTGGCAACCAATGGTGTGGTTCTTAATACTATATGAATCTAAATAAAATTGAAATCTATCTCTGAACAAGTATGAAATACTAAATTATGAATGTCTTTGAAATAAAAGTCAACAACCTGTCATATAAAGCTAGAAATTTTTTATAGTGAATATCTACATCGTCATTCTACATAACTCTCAAAAGGGCAGCAAGGATTTATAGGCAAAGTCAAATAATCTAACCTGTCAGAAAATCATTTCATGCCACAAAAAAGAAGTGTTTAAACAAAGTAAATATGCAATGCAATTATCAAGATTTGGGATAAGGCTCCTTTTTTCCCCAATAATTTGCTGGCCAGAGACTTTTTTGAGACGTTGTCAAATAGTAGGGCATCTCTCCTAATAAAAATTCAAACATTGATTCACCATATTATGAAGAACTAGCCCAACTGCTCATGTTTAGGATAAGGCCTTTTTTTTTTTCAACTGAAACACGGCTTTCTACATAATTAATAACATCACTAACTCCCCATCTGTGGATAACAAACATCTTAGATTCATTAGTAGTGAGATTGATCAAAGATAGCACAGTCCTTACAACTCGATCACTCTCCATTTCACATTCAGTTTCACTAAGAACCAAGTTCGTTACATCATTCTCCACTTCACTTAGAATTTTCCTAGTGTGTTCAGGCGTTGCAAGAACTGTACCAACAATTTCATTCCTCCAAATGGTCATTGGGTCTAACAAGCATGGACAGGGGCTGCTAATATATTTTTCACTCTAACACCATCTCTTTTCAGCTGCACTTGCAGCTTCGTCTATAACTCACAAATTAAAGCCAGAAAATTGGAAATTTCAAGTGTGACAGAACAAAAGCTAATTTGTTCTCATACACACAGTAAGCTTAAATCTTAAATCAGGGTCCGAAATAATTACGTTTATCAATGTAAACACTTCCAATGCTAAATCAAAAGAAACTACAAAATGACAATGACCATGTCCATCTTCATCCTCCAGGTCTTGGTTAATCCTAAGACAAAACATTGCTCCATTAACAGTAAGTAACTACATCAGCATAAAAATTTAGCTGAGAAGTTGCTGGATTCCACACTAAAAAGGAATCGGGATACCTGGTAAGTTCAGCACAGAACAAGGGAAGTCTAATACATACCAAGATATAATTGGAAACTCTGATCCTAACACGCGACAGGTAATTATTCATCAAAGGTGCCTTGCGAACTTCAATTTTAGTGTTACAAAAAAAAAAAATCAATTTTAACCACTTTTCCATCCGCATGATTTAGTTAAAAACTCTTATAAATATAATTGAAAATAATGCATAACTAATTAGCTTTAAATCATTGTCTCATAGACATCTAACCCATTAATCTAACTATATTTTACACCCCGTGGATCATTGAACAAAGATGACGCGGGAAAAATCTCTTAAAAAGACATTTAAATAAACAAAATTTTTATTTGGCTTTATTAAATTTTTCAAAGCCCCAATTAGATCAAATGACTCAACTAAGGATTTTAAAATTTTATGAAATGATTGTATTGTTTCCTTTATTCGAAAACTTGAAAGACGAGGACTTTCTATCATTTCTATCATTTCCACATTACGTAAAAGTTCTTATCCATGAGGCAATGATGAGTTAGTTTTTTTATTAGTTTCATCATGCTATCTTGATTCTTCATTTTCCTTCATATGGATTATAGGAGATGGGATTTTTGTTGGGGGAGAGAGGAAGTGTGAAATGTGACTTCTAGAGTGAGTTGAATCGCTGATATATGTGTGATGTAAGGTTTATGATGAATATGTATGTGGAATAACTAATTGCATTTACTTGGTCATGAAAGTTTAGCATGAAGAATGCTATGAGGGCTACATGTGTTGTTAATGGCCAAATGAAATGTGTTAAAACATGATTTGAAGTTATTAAAAATTTGAAGTTGGATTTTGTTATGCTGATTCCAAGAAGTGATTATGATCATGGCTATGATGGTTACATATTTTGTTAATAGCTAAATGAAACGTGTTAAAACTTAATTTGAAGTTGTGTATGGAATTGAAAACTTGTGAATTCTGAATTGAAAATTCTTAATTATTTATAATTGAATCATGTTAACTGTGTAATTAAACATGTTAATTTTTTAAGTTGTTTTATTATCAAGTTTTATTCAAATACTTACTATTATGGAGATATAAAGCTGTTAATTTAAAATTAAAACGTATTAATTGTATAGTTGAACCTGTTAATTTTCAAGATCGTATCATATTATGATCAAATTTTATTCAAAGATTTATTATAAGTTTGTTATAGAGATAAAAAAAAAGTTGCTGATTTAGAATTGAAATGAGTTAATTGCAAAATATAACATCTTAATTTAGAATTCTTCTTGCAAATTTAGTAACCTGAATAAGGATTTGGATTTTTTTTTTAAAAGTATCTTTTTAAGAGATTTTCCCTGCAGGAATTAGTTCACTTTAAAAAAATTGGATAAGTAAGAAAGGTTTAATAGAGAAAATACATGAGAGAAAAAGTAAAAAAGATTAATTAAAAACATTTAACCACACATTCCATTTTTTCAAATCAAATTCATTAAAATCTCTCATTATCATACCCTTACGCCCCTCAAACCAAATATACCCTAAAAGCTAATTAAATTTAAATACTCAATGAATATTAATTATATAGATTTACAAAAAAATAATAGTATCCAGAGCAACAAGAACATATTTTTGCAGGGGGGAACAAAGCATATGATGCATTCTGGTAAAATATTGATCTAAATTGCAATGACTTCATTTCCACAAACCATCATATTCCTTCGTTCAAATCCATCAGAAATGAAATCAACAGGAAAGAAAATAAAATTAACTTCACCCTGCTTTTTTTTTCTAATTTGCTCTCATATGGAAATAAAACTATTGGTATAATCCACAATCCATATACCAGCGATATTTTCCCTGAAATTAGAGAAACACACGCATGTGCACATATCTTTATATGTCAAATAAAACTAAAAATATTTGGCAGTGAACATTTGCCGTATTCATCATCATTCTGAATAACATCTCAAAAGGGCATCAAAAGTTTATGAGCAATCAAATGATCTTCCACCAAAAGTACTTAGACAAGGTGAATTTGCTATGTAATAACTAAGATTAAGGATCAAGGTTCTTAATGAATGTTACCAACTGGTACAAGGCTTTCCGCATAATTTAAGATTCCAAAGCCACAAATAACATTGTTCATAACAAACTTCCTAAATTTGCTGGTAGTGAGATTCAACAAATATAATGTTCTTTGCTCATCACCATATTTTTCAATTCTCCAAACTGTGCAGACAATTTCATTTCTCCAAATATTCAGTGGAGTTAAATAGTATGGATAGAGATTGGGGCTGGCGCTATATATTTTAGTCCAAGTCCATCTCCCTCCTCTAAAAGCACGTGTGTTCTTCAACCATCCACAAATCAATGAAACCATATTTAGAGTTTCCTATGTCTCTGTAAGAAATAATAACTGGTTTGTTCTCATAAAAAGTAGGAATAGAAGTTGATCTATGGGGCAAAGCAGGTGTTGGTATTAACGTAAACACTTCCACCGCTACGTCAAATGAGATTATCACGTCATCATCATCATTCGAATTTTGCGCGAGCCAAATGATGGTTCCATTATTATCAGTGGCTGCTTCACAATAAATACATAGATCCTTTAATGTGTTCCCTACTTCCACAGCTTTCGACGACCCCGTGCGTAACGAATACACTAGCACCTTATTCACACTTCTCTTGCAGAACCGATATGAACCCCTGATAGCATCAATATAAGAGCCAGAAATGAAAATATTAACTATCTTGTAATCATTAGCAATTTAACTGAACCCAAATCCTATAACTCTTTAGGATAAGTGGCTTGGGGTACTTCTCTCGCCTCCTTAATAGCTGGATTCCACACTAGAAGCTTATGAGGAGACACATAACGATCATAGAGTTCCATACAGAGCAAGCCGTGCTGGAGCCGATGATCCGAGCATCTGAAAAAGTACCAAAGCTGGACAAGTGGTAATCGATCATAGGGGGGTTATGGACTTCATGGAGTAGAAAGTCACGATCGAATGAACACAAGTACAACGGATTGTTTCTCCTATAGAGTTGTTGGAAGAGAAAAGAAGGTCGATGACTAGAGTGGTGAAGGTGATCTGCAATGAATAACGGATCCTTCAAGAGATTTTTCCAATTTTTGCAGACACTTTGAAATTGGATTTGGTATTTCACGGGAAGTCTCTTTAGAATGCTGACAATGATCTCTTGGGGCCGAAAACCGTTGTTGCCTTCCATTCCCGTCGCTCCACAGAATTCTCGATGGTTAGGGTTTCGTTGGCTTCAGCTTCTAGAGAGTTCCTACGGCACTTATGAGTTGTTTCCGCGTTGAACTCAATGTAACAATAACAAAATATCTACTGTGATCTTATTCCATTACCTTCTCTACTCACATCTTATGTCTAGGATTAATAATACCTTAGTCTCAGTGGTGTATCCAAAGATCATGGGAAATATTGCAATAAAAAAATATTATGAATAAAATTTCAGTAAACATGATCAAGGGTAAAATAACATCAAAGATCAGGTGTTGGGTTACACCTTGAAAATAAGATAAGTGGTAAATTTTGGACATTTGCCAAAATCAAAATGAGATTAACTTTTGGAAATCAAAATCACTGGTTTTAAATTTTAAGAACCAAAACTTAATAATAACAAATTTTAAGAATTAAAAATGACGTTACCTTTTTTTTTTTTTTTTGCCTAGGCAAATATTATTTCTAATTTTACGATAAGTCTATCAAGGGAAATCATTTTATTGATATGTGAATCATTTGAATGTCTACCCTAATCTTATATCACTTCATTTTATATCTGCACCTATATCTATACTAATTTTATACAACTTTAAATAGAATTTGTCTCATAGTTTTATACAATCTTATAATTTTGACTGATTTTTAATCTAACCCTCTGTTTGGATGGAAAGAAAAGTTGAGAAGAAATAAGATGAGAGGAGAGGAAATGGAGAGAAGAGAAAATTAGAGTGAAAATATTATTACCTCTTATGTTTGGATGGACAAGTGAAAACAAAAAGGAAAGAAAATAAATAAATATATGAATGACTAAAATACTCTTTCTGTTATATCAAAATTTATCTTGATTAAAATTAAATTAAATATCATAATGAAAAACCATATTTACATTAACATAATCATATAATTTAAAATCAAATTATTTGATAAAGATATATTATCATGTCATTATATTTTAATATCAAATAATTTTGTAAAAAAAGAAAAAAAACATTTTGTGTAATGCAATGCTAAAAAAACCACAACAACTCTACATGTTTTTCCTTTCAGTTCATTTTAGAAGGATTTTTGCAATTTTAGTTATTTTATTTTTGAATGAAGCAAACACAGAAGAAAGACTTGATAGTAATAAATAAAGTGAAAAAATGAAAAAAAAATAAATAGGCATTATTTTGCTGAAAAAACACATGTAAGGATAGAGAGGAAAAATATGTTTTCTTCTCATTTTCTCTCCACATATGGAGAGAAAAGTTGGGAGGAAAATGGGATGTGGGACACCTCATTTTCTCCCCAGCTTTTCTTTTCTCCCACTTTTCTTCTCTTATCCAAACAGGAGAAAAACCACTTCTCCCCCCATTTTCCTTCCAAGTTTTCCTTCCCCTCTTATTTTCTCTCCATCTAAACATAGCATAAGTCTTTGTAAAAAACATTTTCTTTTGCTTTTTATTGGATCCTTTATTCAGTTGTGGGCATTTGTTCAGTTCTCACTCAAACATACACATGGACTGATTTTGTCCCGTGAATAAAATCAACGAGATTGTATATTATATATAAATGCAAAGAGATCATTATAAATACACTAATTTTTATTATATTAATAATAAATAAATTCTATTCCATATCTTTTAAGTTTTACTTGTTACTAGACCAGAGTTTATTTTGTGTTATTGGTTTACAGAGTTTCAAGAAATTTAACCATTCGCATTCCAAACCTTGGGTCATAATTGATGGACTATACCCCTCCAGTCTCTATGAAGTTTTTTATCATGTTAAAACTCATCAATATACCACTCTGATTCTTATTATAACACTCACTTGTAAGAAAATTTTTTAGTACTAAATATAAGTCACTTGTAAGATATTGAATGATCATTTTTTTTTAATTTTCCACTTATTTAATCCTCATTAGATAAAGAGGAGTTTTGAAAATAATTTGTAAATGTAAAAAGAGGGAAAAATTTTATAAGAGTAAATTTAGAAAATTTCATTAATTTAATGTATTCCCTAAGAATTTTTATTACTTGTATTATTACTTTTTTTAAAAATGCTAAATTTATTCACATCTCCCAGTAAAAAATTCAGCCTCTCTTTTAGTTGGCTTTCGTTGTTTACTTGATTGATTTTCATGCAAAATAACTCATTATCTTGATTTTGAGCCAGTTTGCGTATGCATCTATAGATGTATACTTCTAATTTAGAATTTTTAAAATGAAGAAAATGATTTCCCAAAAATAAAGAAAAACAAAAAATTTATGAATCGCCATTGGGCTTGAAGAATATGTTTCCTAGCCCCAATTAAGGTCTAACGAATAGATTTTGGGCATTTAAGTCGCTAATGATTTTCCCCTCTGTTAAGTTTTGAAATTGTACAATGAAAAAAAAGTCTTGGGTTTAAACAAAAATCTTTGTAAATGCCCATTCGATTTGTTAATTGTTGTTCTTCATATTTTAATACTTATACGGACTACAGACTCTGTACATGATAGAACAATGTTCAATTTAACTGCTCCTTTAGTTTAGCTTAGAAATGTTAGTTGTTCTTTTTTGCTGGATATATTTGACAATAATAAAGAAGATAGGAATTCATAATAAAATAAAGACTTCCATTCACAATATGAACCTCCAAACAAAAACATATTTGTACAGGAAACAAGTAAATAAAGCATATGTATCATTACTTTGAGACAAAATGAGCTAAATTTTAATGGGTTCATTTCTCCAAATAAACCAATGTATTTAATTAATTTCTCTATCATAAATACAATGAAGAGGTAAGAAACCTAAACTTGTTTTATGTATCACTATCAGTAAATCCTATGGCAGCAAACATATCAAAAGGGCAGCAATAATTTATAACCACAGTTAAATAATCTAGCCTGTCAACAGTGCGTTTCTAGTGGAAAAAAAGTGTTTAAATAATGCAATTTTTTTCCATAACCACTGGTATTCTCTTGTTAGAGAATATTCTTTTCAAGACATCATCAGATACTAAATATGAGCATCTCTCCCTGCAAAAATTTGAACCTTGATATACCACTTTATGAGGAACTAGCTCATTATGCTAGACCTATCCCATTGGTATCTAGGATAAGGCTTTCTTTCTTTTCTTCCTCCTCTTCTTGTTTTCAACTGAAACAAGGCTTTCTACATAATTAATAACATCGTGAAAACCCCATCTGTTGATAACAAACATCTTAAATTCATTAGTAGTGAGATTGATCAAAGATAGCACAGTCCTTACTCTTCACATTCAGTTTCACTAAGAAGCAAGTTCTTTACATCATTCTCCATTTAGAATTTTCCTGGTGCGTTCAGGCTTGCAAGAACTGTACCAATAATGTCATTTATCCACATGGTCATTGGGTTTAACAAGTATGGGCCCGGAAAGAGGGGGCGGCTAATATATTTTTCACTCCAAGTCCATCTCTTTCCAGATGCACTCGTTCCTTCCGCTTTGACCCACAAACTAAAGATAGAACATTTGAAACTTCCAGTGCGATGAAACTAAGCTAATTTGTTCTCATACACAGTAAGGTTGAATCTTAAATCAGAGCCTAAAATAGGTATGTCCATCAATGTAGACTTCCAATGCTAAATCAAAACAAAACTATAAAGTGACAGCGACCATGTCCATCTTCACCCTCCACGTCCTGTTTAATCCCAAGCCAAAACACAGCTCCGCTAACAGTGGCTGCATCAGCATAAAAATTTAAACCCTCCAAGTTCCCAAATTCTACTTGTTTCCATAACCCTGTGCTTAATGCATACACATCCACTCCATTCAAACTCTTTGTACCAACCCGAAATAAAAACCCATTATCAAAATATTCCTTATAACCATAAATCTTAACTATCTTGTAATCATTAACAACTGGACTGAACCCAAATCCCAAATAGCAATCACCCAAAAAATCAATAGTTCTAAGCACCAGTTCGTCCTCTCTAGTCGCCGGATTCCACACTAAAAAGGAATCTATATACATCCTAAATTCAGCAGAGAAGACAGGAAGTCGAATACAAACCAAGCCATTACTGGAACCGATGATCCTAAGGCGCGACAAGTGGTTGATCAGAGGTGCCTTATGAACTTCAACGAGTTGCATGTTGCAATAGAGCAAGCACAATTCCGAATGATGAATTCAACATGGGGGTAGTACTGGAAGAAGGGAAGGGTTTCGGTTAGCAGAATAGTGAAGGTGATCTGCGATAAATGATGGATTCTTGAAGAGATTTTTCCAATTTTTGGACACACACTGAAATCGGATTAGGAATTTTACCGGCAGTCTTTTGAGAATGTCAACGATTATCTCATGGGGAAGAAAAGCGTTGTTGCCTGCCTTTAAAGTCGCTCCAGAGTGCTCGACGTCGGAGACGGGCTTCAGAGGGACGGCAGCTCCGACTGATGAAAGAGAAGGAGATGGCTAGCGTCGATGACACAGATTGTTACTCGCTTTAACTTCTGGGGTGTTCACGCCTTCAAGGATCACGGTGTCTTTGGAATCCCAAGCCTCTGCGCCCAGTTTTACCCAAGGCAGGAAATTCTGAGCCATTGAACCTTGCAAAAGAAATTGGACGGCCAGGATTTCTCGAGCTCAACGGCTCGGCAATCGGCATCATGTTTGTTTTAGTTTTCTTCTTCGGTATTTTCCTTTTTAGCTTAGTAGCTTGTCTTGTACTCATGTTTTTGTCTTTTATTGACCGTCGGCATTTCAATTTAACCGATATTAATCAATAGTTACGTATCAAAGGAATTCTACCAAAAAAAATTAAAAGAAGGAAAAAATAACAATAAAATTATAGTTCAATTTAGTAAATCCCAAATAGTCACCTTAATAAGAGAAATTTCACGGCTAAATAGGAATTTCAAAATTTGTTAAAATGACCATATTATCCTTATCTTATTTGTGTTTATGAAAATATTTTGAAAACATGTTATTAATTGTGTTATCAAACTTGTTAACAGTATTACATGACTTTTTAATCACGTTATGGAAATTAAAAAATTTTCAGTTTATTAAACACTCAGAAATTTTTCAAAGTCAAAATACTGCAAATCACGTGCTGAATATATAGTGTTATTAAAGTTGTTAATATTATTATATAAGTTGTGAACTATGTTCTTGAAGTTGAAAAAATATCACTTTTACAATATTTGGAAAAATAGCTTGGTAATTTTGTTACCAAACTAGTTAATACAGTCACATAGCTTGTCAATCATGTTACAAAAGTTGCAAAACTTCCAATAATTCATTAAGCACTCATATATCTCTCGAACTTAAAATACGTTTTAGATCACATGGGAAATGAGTTTATCACTCTCAAAAATTGTGGTATCCAAGTGAAGGCCAAATAATTATATGTACACTAATTATACCATTTATACCTACTACTATAACAAATTTTGTCATAACTTGCATAAAACAAATTATGTGCAGTTTCAGTAATACAGTTAACAGTTAATAATTTTTGTAACAAGATTAACAAATCTAATAACATTATTCACCACGTAATTTGTAAGGTACTTTAACTTTGAGAGAGATTTATGAAAACTCTTGGTTTTGATCACCTAAATAATCTCATCATAATGAAAATAATTTATTTTAGTACAAAGATAAATTTTTTCATCTTCATTATGTCAAGTTCTCTAATCACACATGATCATATATTTTATTTTCGAAACATTATTATTTAATTATAAATCCACATTGAAAACAATAAAACACATATCCATGTAGTTGAAGAATTTGATATAATAGATATAAAGAACTTGACTTAGGTGTTTTGTTTTATTTTATACTAACTCTTTTTTTAATATAAGAGCCAGATAAATAACTTGTGGATATTAAAAGCATTGGTTAAATTAGTTATTTATAATAAATAGATATTGTCTTCCCTAAAATATCCTTGTTAATCATGTATATTTGAGTTATACTTTGATAAAAACTCTTTAACATGTGCAATTACTATAACAATTATTTATGGGAAAATTGCATTGAGGTCCCAAGGAACACAACACAAATCCAACAAGCTATTGCTTAAACAAACACAAGATCCAACAAGCTACCTCGCTCCATATATATCATATCATAACTCTTAAAAGCAGACATATACGAATATGGAGTAGAAATATAAAGTAGGGTTGCTTCTCATCCTCACTGTTGGGACGTTGGGAATCACCTCTGCAGAGATCCTTCAGTTCTCTCCTCTCAAAACAAGCAAGGCATACTATGTGCATATGATGTGCATGGGCATCAATCGAATTAATGGACTTTAATTTTTGGGTTGGTTTTCTTTTGTTTTTGTTTGTTTCTTTTGCGGGGTATTTTGAAAGGCTACAATCATCCATTTATTGTAACATATCTTCAGATATCACTGTTAGTGTTTTATCTTCTCGTAGCGTTCGTTTCAGAAAGGTTGCAGAAATCTGCAAAGCAGTTTTTCGGTAGGAGAAGTGCAGAAACATCATCATAATCATCATCATCGGAGTCCCATGAAGCAGACGATGATTATTCTGATTTAGAGCAATTGATGCTAGTTACTGATGATAGCTTGTCCCAAGACCAACCAAAAGCTTGCATCCTTTGGAGTTGCTAAATTGGCCTTGGTTATTGCCACTTTGTGGTTTATCTGACAGGTTAATTAACCACTCTCTGATATGCTTCTTCCTCAAACCATATGTAAACTATTTGTCACCATTTCTTAACATAATAATTAGATAACTAATTTGAAGATATTAAGAAAATTATTTAAGTTAATTATTTGTAACAAACGTGCCTTATTTTTCTTAGGGAAAACTAATTTGAAAGTCCTTATAAATTGTCTTAGTTTTGAATCAAGTCCCTATATTTGTTTTCTTTTTTATTGGATCCTTTAACTTTACATAGTTAGATTTGTTAGACCCTACTGTTAAGTAAACACTAACGGCGTTAAAACTGTCATTACCTATCTCCTTCCCTATAACCCCAAAAAGTTTCAGAACAAAACTCTCCTCCCTAATTCGTTCTTCGTTCTTCGTTCATTGCTCAATATCTTCGTTCATTCCTCCTTTGTTCTGCTATTGAAGCAATTACAGTGATTATGGCTGCATCTATCCACCGGTGGCTACTTCTCGTTTGTCTCATTGAAATCCTGCACCATTTTCGGAAGGCAAAGTGAACTTAGCTCGAACTCCGATCATCCTCCATCTTTATTTGATAAGTATTCATTGGTGGCGACGAGTTTCTTCAGTCAGAGATTCCTCAAAACAGTCGGAGATTGCTTGTCAAAGATGAACAACCTTCTCAGCCACAACTTCAACACTAGCTTTGCTGAATGATTTCAAACCACCGCTTTCTTGAGCTTTCAAGAAATCTATATTAATGGGTTGATCTTAATCGAAGGCGTGGCTGAGAGAAGTACTAAATTTGTGCAGTTTTACTCCATTTTCAGAACTCAAATGAATACGAGTTTATCGAGAAAAAAAAGGGTATGTCGCGATTACAAGTGGAACCCAAATTCACATAGCGTAAATCAAACTGATAAAATTCTTTTCTTTTCCAGAAAACTCAAGGAGCCTACTAAAACAAGAAAACTACAGTCACCACTACCATTCCTATTAGCTGCAGAAAATACATAAACAAAGTCAAAGAATCAAGCAAAATTTTCACCATTTGAAATCGCAACTCATCACCAAAGCGAGATGGAAAACTTCATTGGAATTTGGGCAGGAGTGAGAAATCTTTGCTTCCCTGCAAGCATAGAATAAGCATGGAATACCTTGTAGAGTAGGTGAGAGAAGAAGAAAATGGCTTTGAGCTCAAGGCTTTCAGAGGAAACTGGACGAAGGTTAGCTGGAGAGAGGAAAATAATTTGCCATAAAGTACATTTCTTCGACAACTGGTCCATTTGGATTAGCGATTGGAAAAACAGCTTATTGTTTGTTTGGTTTATGGAAAAGTGAAGTTGAGTAAAAGCTAAATTGGATAAGCTGAATTGTGTTTGGATTGGAATTCAGAAAAGCTAGTTTGTAAAAGGGAGATTGGTAAAAAGTTGTTTGGATTATGATTGAGTAAAACTAATTTTGTTTGTAAAATTACCAAAATGAGTATGAATTTTAATAAGTAATGAAACATGATTAAAAAATGATTTTACATAATATAATGAATGAAAATTAATTTGGTATTGGACCTAAATATCCATTTGGTGTTGAATATCTCGCATCAACCAAGTAATATTTTTTCTAAAATACAATTTTTTTTACCAAGAGAAATTTTGTATAATTTTTTTTTTTAACTTGAGACAACTTTTATATGTGAGATACCTCAAAAGGCAATTTTTTAAAATACACTTTTGTTAAATAAAATTTGTAAATGAACTTATAAGAATTTTACGTATTATTAATACGAATATCATATATTTTTCATAATTTAAAGTATATTAATTTTCAACAAATAAAATATAAAAAATTGAAAAAAATTTATTCATGTCGAAGAAAAGTAAATTCTTACTACTATTTTTCACAACCTGAACTCTTTAGATTATTATATTTAAACAATTTATATTTTAATTTACTGCTTAATTTTCAATTTTTAATTAATTAAACAAAATCAAATTAAAAAAAAGAAGAAAAAGAACAACAGTTACCCCAATTGTACTCAAATAGCAATTGGCTGATAGAGGGGAATAAATGAAGAGGAAAGGTCAGAATAGGATGGTGGACCCCACCTACATATACAGTTCCAACGGTGAGCCCGATTTGACTCTCATAAGCTACAAATATCAGCTTATGTAAAAGTCCATTTCAATCTAGCTTTTTGGGCGCAAATCAGATGACTTATAAGCTCTGCCAAACACCCTCCAACTTTCCAAACAGGCTTATAAAAAAATAAGCAGTTTTTACAGCCTCAATCGCTGATCCAAACAAGCACGAATGCGATATTGTAGATGACTGCGGGACATGAAATGGTAGAGATTGCCTGGGGAACGAAGCATATACTATAGCACTTTACTCGAGCTCAGAATGAATCTGAAAAATTTACCATGGGAAAATTAAAAAAAAACATATAATAAAATTATTTAACGGCAACAGTAACACTGTCAACGTTTATTTAACAGTTTTTAATTTGAGGGACTAATGGATCTAACAATGTAAAGTTAAAGGACTCTATAAAAAGAAAAAAAAAGCTCAGGGACCTAATTCAAAAGTGAAGTAAACTATAAGGATGTCCAAATTAGTTTTCCCTTTTTCTTTACTTAAGTGCATTGAAACTATTCCTTGATTGGGAGCCTCTTACTACAAGACATAGCTTGTAGTTGAACCGGAATTAGTATTTGTTTTGTTTTCCTCCAAGGGTGAATCAAAGTAAATCTTGAATACGTATTAGTGAAATGAACCAAGGAGTTGTACAGATATCCAACTTTCATCTAAAAAGCTGAATTATTACATATGACTACATGCAACAAAGAGGCCATATTATATTCTTCTTGTAGACCTACTATAATACATTCAATGTGATATTGAGTCGTGGAAATCACTATCAAGTCCCAGATAAAGTATACAATTATTAAAAATGTCCCAATGACAAGTGAGCAATTTCTAGCTTGTCATTTCTTGCACTACAATTTACCATTAACTAATTATTAGATTAAAGTGTATCTAGCATCCTGACGTATTTTTTGGGATGCATCTAGCACTCTAAAATATTTTGTGGTATCCAATATTCTAAAGTATTTTTCAGGTGCATTTAGCACTTGAAATATTTTTTTACCTTGGTGCTCGATAAACCAAAACATATTTTTGGAAGCTGGATGCACCTAAAAAATATCTTAAGGTGTTGGATACAGCAAAAAATGCTACAAAGTGCTAGGCACACTTAAAAAAATTATTTTGGGGTGCTGGATGCATCTTAACTCCTAATTAAAATATTTTTTAGTAATTACTTTTTTTTTCAATAGAGAACACAGTAATTTTCCTAAAAATATATTGCCACAATTGCAGCAAGTCTCATCAAGATATAAACATGTAATAAAGTGTTTGATTTTTTCTGTGTTTATTAACTTGCAGCATTTAAATAATGCTGCGCTTGCAAGAACGAGTGTGACAAGTGCAATGACACAATTGTCAACATCGTCTGCATTTACAGTTTTACACTTCGGATTGGGAAGTTGGTGAATAAAGAGTCTTTTCTGAATTGGGTGAATATTGTTTCTGTGATTGTGAGCCTCACAGGTGTTTGCTTGACAACCTTGGGACACCCATGGAAGGCCGGTGATGAACCAACATCAACCTCAATATTCAAGTACCTCCATTTCTTAACTCCTTCTCACATCTTCACTATTCATATATATATATATATATATATGCATGCAGCATAAAAATTTTAACATATTACACTACTAATTATATATGAGGTATAAATAGTATGGCTTATTTCTTAGAAGTCACCAACCGTATCTTGCTCTCCTACTTATGGAGGAGAATGAGAGTATCTTTTTATCCTTAATATAAGCCGCCTCGTTAAATTTATTACGTGAATGTACAATTTTGTTCATAATTTATTATTCTATGAATTATTATTTTATTGGATCTCAAAGTTATTAAGTAAGAGTAAAGTTTAAAATTATTAAATTTTAAGATAAAATTAATAATATTTAGTGAAATATGTTGGCAGTGCCTATAAGTTGGGCCAGAGGAGAACATGGTTATTTTGTTGATTATATATTGTAAATAATTTTCCCACATTTCCTGAACCAATTGATAAAAAATTTATCATATAAAGACACATAATGAATATAATGATACAGCCATTTGAATTCTAAAGACAATGATGCAGTTACCAATGTATCTCGCCATGGAGACCGACTTTGCCAAGTCATAAAAAGACACAAGAAATTTTGCTTTTCAGTATATTTATATTCACTTTAAATATATATATTCCTTGTTACCTCTTTCAATTTCACTTGGACTTAATAAGCAAATGAATTATTGATTAATTGCTTTATTCATATTAATTATTTTCAGTATGGCCTCTAGTGGCATTAGGCTTGGAATCCAAATTTGAATTGCCAGGAATTGATGAAATGAAGGCTATCGTTTGCAGTGGCCTAGTTGGAACTTTCTTCTATGATTATGCCTGGTATGTACGTGCAACGTGTGAGCCTGTGTGTGTGTGTGTAGATTTACACACACACATTTTACGATTTTAAGCTTAATTAGCCATTTTATATTATCCCTAATATCCATATATAACTTGTAAATTGTATAAGTTATTGTTATGTAGATAATTTAATACACTAATGATGATTAATTAGCATAAATTGCAATGAAGAGGGGATAGGAGTTGCTTGGACACCACCGTTGGTGGCTATACTGGCTCCTCTCTCTCCATGCCAATCGCTCCTATCATTCACCAATAGATTCCATTAATCGATAACTTTGAATGTTAATTTTTGTGTCCTTTATTTTATGTCTGTCTGTGGGGCTAAAGGTTATTTAACCCTTCCGATCACTTGCTTCCGTTATCTTAGTCTTGTTTACAAAGGTCTAAATCACCTTAAATGATTTTTTTTTTGTTAGATTTTTTGGGCTTGGATCCGTCCTTGATGGGCCGGATTATTTGATCGGGTATAAAGAGAATATATCAGTCAAATATCCAAGCGATATTGTGATATGTTTGACTTGGTCAAACACCCTGAATCATATCCAATCGGTTACGATATAAATCTAATTAATTTATATTAAATTAATTAATTTATATTGTGTAGATTAAATATATATTAAGTATATATATTTAGAATTAATTGTGATTGATTCTGGATTTAAATTCAAATATCATGATATTATGAGATAAGGATATATTATATCTTATCTCAGATTTTATCTGATGGGCTCAGTGGATATTTTTATGCTTCCCAAAATATCCCTGACAAAAGCTATAAATAGAGGCTTCCTCCCATCAGTTCAAATCACTCCAGTAGTAGAGCTTTCCTACTATCTCTCTCTCTCTTTTTCTTTCTTGCAAAAGTGGTGCTCTGCTGTGCACTTAAAAGCTTAGACTTTTATAGTCTAGCTTAAGCGTGAGCTAAGAAGATCCGACTGACCCGACCCGGTATGTTTTCGATCCATTCTCATATTTTTCTTACATTTTTGTTATATTCTCTGCAATAATGCCACACCAACCTTTTTTCATTACACAGTAATTATTATGATATTTTATTTTTTCTTACATGACCACCCGTCTATTTTAAGATCCTCATCGTTGATCTTGTAGCAATTGGATTGACTGTTCCTTTAAATTTATTAATACAAAGGCTTTCTGCCATCACAAATAATTTTTGATGCATTTCTCTGCCTCAACCACAGCCAATTTTTATTCCTCTCCATCAATTTCATTAATCATATTTTCTTGTTACACATTAAAACACATAATCACAAATTCCATAGCACTCAATCTATAATCCTATGATCAATTATCTTGTAGGGCAAGGACTAATGAGACCATAAGAGCTTAGCCCATGCTGACGTAAAATGAGCAAGCCACACATACATTAGTTACATCACATAACAAATTAATAATATATGAAGAAGGAAACTAAAACCCAACTATGTCCAGCTATTTCTTCTCTCTCTCTCTCTTGTGTATATACATTTATGTATGTAAATATGTAATATGTGTGTGTATGTGTGGATCTTTGGCACTTGCGAGGTTTAATTAATCAAGTTAGATAGCCTTAGTTTCTTGAATATATTGGTTTTCTCTTCATGATAAATCTTTGATCAAACCCAAATCTCGCTTAATAATGAAGAATTGTGGATATAACATCACGCTTTATAGTATTTAACTAGGTGGGGGCTCTTTATATTACATACAGTTTGATAATTCATATTGTTCATAACATATTAATAATACAGCTTACTATAAATTTTATGTTAACATAATGACATTTTGACAATGCTTAACATTGATGAAGTTGATATCAATCATCAGCTTTCAATTCTTTTGCCAACTCATTTGTGTCGCAGGTAATAGCAGGATTTGAAATTGCCATGATTATTTGGAAAAGAATGCATTACTAATTAGCTTGAACACATATCTCACAATCAGATAAGTAAGGTTATAAAAGTTGAATGAATGAATAATTCAGTTCCACAAACCAACATATTCCTTCATTAAAATCCATCAGAAAGGAAATGAACAGGAAAGAAAATAAAATTTACTTCACCTGCTTTTGTTTGCTCTCATATGATATAAAACTATTGCTATAATACATGGATTATAGATATGATCCATATGTCAACGAACTTATTAATGAAAAATAAGCATAACAACCTTAAATCAGACACACGAGTGTGCGTATATGTCAAATAAAACTAAAAATATTTGGCAGAGAATGTTTGCTGCATTCATCATCATTCTGAATAACATCTCAAAAAGGCGTCAAAAGCTTATGAACAATCAAATGATCTTCCACCAAAAGTACTTAAAACAAAGAAAATTTAAGATACAATAACTAAGATTTAGGATCAAGGTTCTTCAACGTCAATGTTACCAACTGATACAAGGCTTTCCACATAATCCAAGATTCTAAAGCCACTACTATAATTGTTCATAACAAATTTCTTAAATTCATTAGTGGTAGGATTCAACAAACATGAAGTTCTTCCTTCATCCTCCCAGGCTTCACCATATTTTTCAGTTCTCCAAACGAGCTCACTCAGAAAACCAACTGTGCAAACAATTTCATTCCTCCAAATGTTCAGTGGAGTTAAATAGTATGGATGGAGATAGCGGTTGCCGCTGTATATTTTATTCCAAGTCCATTTGCCTCCTCCAGAAGCACATGTATCCTCCTCAACCACCCACAAATGAATGAAACCAGATTTAGAGGTTCCTATCTCTTTATTGTAAGAAAGAATAGCTGGTTTGTTCTCATAAAAAGTAGGAATAGAAGTTGACCAAGGTGGTAAAGCAGGCATTGGTATTAATGTAAACACTTTCATTGCCATGTCAAATGAGACTAGCATACCATCATCATCATTCAAATTGTTCGCAAGCCAAATAATGGCTCCATTATTAGCAGTGGCTACTTCAGAATAAGTAGATAGATGCTTTATGTTCTCAAATTCTACCTCTTTCCACAACCCTGTGCTTAATGTATACACTAACACTCCATTCACACCCAGCGTGTAGTTCCAATATGAACTACGAATCTTAATTATCTTGTAATCATTAGCAATAGAACTGAACCCAAATCCTATTAAAAACGGTCTCTCAGAAGCAATAGTTCTTCTGGGTACCACTCTTACCTCCTTAATGGCTGGATTCCATAGTACAAGGCAATAATAAGACCTATAATAGCCGCAGAGTTCAACGCAGAGCAAGCCGTTGCTGGAACCAATGATCCGAACATCTGAACGAGTACTAAAACTGGACAAGCAGTAATCGATCACAGGTGGGTTATGGACTTCACGTTGTCGAAAGTCGCAATGGAACGAACGCAAGTAAAGCTGATTGTTGCTCTGATAGAGAAAAGAAAGTTGCTGACTGGAGTGGTGGAGGTGATCCACAATGAACAATGGATCCTTCAAGAGATTTTTCCAATTTTTGCAGACACATTGAAATCGGATTAGGGATTTCACCGGAAGTCTCTTGAGAATGTTGATGATGCTCTCCTGGGGCAGAAAAGCGTTGCTTCCTTCCATTACCGTCGCTTTTTTGCAGTGTTCGGGATAGTTCTAGGGTTTGTTGGCTACAGCTTCTGGATAGTTAAATGAATCATATCTGAAAGGGAAAATGAATATGATAGTATGATTTTATCAAGTTTTGAAGTGGGTCCTTATTGATTTTTTCCTTTTTATTTAATCCTTATTGTATGCTCCGTTAATAAAGTTAGTCCTTCCGTCTAAAACATTTGAAGATGCCGTTAGTTTGAGCTAAATAAATCATAAGCTCACCTTTTTCCTTAACACAGCATCACCTCCTTTCTCAGCCTCCCCCCCCAAAAAAAAAAAAAAAAAAAAAAAAAGCTCCGCCAGTCTCGTTCATAGCAAATACCGTTACTTCTTCACCATTAACCAGAGACCTCGTGCCTTCTCCAAGCTAGAAGCTATTCGAAAAGAGGTCAAACATGGTGACTGTGTTTTGTTCCACATAAGCCTTCTTTAGGAGCGCCGCTATTACAGTCTTTTTCTCCATCGAGGCTTTGGTTAAAGCAAAATCAAGATCTTGACTTCCATCAATAACACTCTAAGATAATGTCATAAAAAGAAAGTAATATATAAACATTGGAAAAAAAAACTGGATCTTTACATTCTTTTTTAAACAAGAAATTGAAAAGAGTTATGAGTTTGAACTTATTGTGTCTAATGGTATTTTTTGAATAAAAAACAATAGGTTAGAGAAAGAAGACCGAAAGAGGAGAAGCTAGCGTTCCGATCAACAATTCTGATATTGGGATAATGCATCTTGTGTCTTTACAAATTTCGATATTTGCTGTGAGGTTGTGTGGCGAAGATAATTTGTTGCATGGAAATATGGAGATACAGTAAGGTTGTTTGAATTGATTCATCATTATCTCTCTCATTGAAGTTGCAGACGAGACATGGGAGGTTGGCTTAGCAAGAATGGAGTGAAGCTTGTGCAAGAGAAGGGTGAACACGATGAAGGTGCAGAGAGAGTACACGGGCGATGAGCTTCAGCACATATCTTGGTCAACTTTAACGGCATCTTCAATTTTATTTTATTTTTTTGGTACGGAAGGACTAACCTAATAATAAAAATAATAATAAGGACTGAATAAAAAGGAAAAAAATAATAGGGACCTGATTCAAAACTTGATAAAACTATAAGGACTTTCTGATTAATTTTCCCTATCTGAAATATTCTATGTTCCTTAAAAAGTTAAATAGATAACCCACCGTTATAAAAATAATTTCATCTATACTTTATTTTAATATATATTTATAGAATATATATAAAGTAATTAATTGGGTTGGAAATTTAAATCTCAAATGTTATTTTATAATTTTGTGCTTCAAGAACTGTTGCTCATAGGTTATAATAATAAGCTTTCAAAATCACGTTTAATAATTGACTTTAAATAAGTATTAAAAGAATATAGTTAATGTAATTTTTTTCCTTTGATTCACGGTATCCAAGTATGGTGTATCAAAATAAATTAATCTTAATATATATTTTTTTGGATGCTCATAAACTAAGACGTTATGAATAAATTTCATACCATAAAGGATCAATGACATAAGATATTTCATTATTAATTTATATATCCGTATCTCTGACTCAATATAACAATGATAAAATATCTACTATGATCTTCTTCCATTACCTTCGCTAATAAAATTTTATTTCTAATTTTACAAACTTATAAGTCTATCAAAGAAAATCATTTGATTGATATGTGAATCATTTGAATAACTACACTAGTCTCATATAACTTCATCTTAAAAAAGAATCAGAATAACCCGGGAAGTCAAAGACAGACCATGATGATCCTAACGTGCAACAGGTTATTCGTCCAAGGTGCCTTGTGAACGTCAATTTTAGCGTCAAAAAACTTTTTTTAACACTTTTCCATCCGCATAATTTAGTGAAAAGTTCTTATAAATATAATTGAAAATAATGCATAACTAATCAGCTTTAACTCATCGTCTCACAAACATATCTAACCCATTAATCTAACTATATTTTACACCCCATGCTTCATCAAACAAAGATGAAGAAATGAGGGGGTGAATTCATTTTTTTTTTGAAGGATAAGTAGCGTTAGAAAGGTTTGATAGAAAAAATATATAAGATGAAAAAGTAAAAAAAAATTAATTAAAAAAGTATAACCACACTCCATTTTTGTGAATAAAATTCATTAAAATCTCTCATTATCTTTCTCTTACTTGCTAGAAACCAAGCAGATCGTTAAAACTAAGTAAATTTAAATACTCAGGGAATAATAATTATATAATTTCACAAGAAAGTAATAGCATCCGGAACAACAAGAACACATTGCGCAAATATCTATATATGTCAAATAAAACTAAAAATATTTGGCAGTGAATATTTGCCGAATTTATCATCATTATGCATAACATCTCAAAAGGGCATCAAAAGTTTATGAACAATCAAATGATCTTCCACCAGAAGTACCTAAACAAAGTAAATTTACTATGCATTAACTAAGATTTAAGATCAAGGTTCTTAAATGTGAATGTTACCAACCGTTACAAGGCTTTCCACGTAATTTAAAATTCCCGTACAATAATGAAAATTGTTGAGAACAAACTTTTTAGATTCATTAGTGGTGAGATTCAACAAATATAAAGTTTTTCCTTGAGCCTTCAAGGATTCACTCGGAAGAAGAACTGTGCAAATAATTTCATTCCTCCAAATGTTCTTTGGAATTCAATAGTATGGATGGAGATAGTGGCTGCCTCTAAATATTTCAGTCCAAGTCCTTCTCCCTCCTCCAGATGCACATAATGTATTCTCCTCAACCACCCACAAATGAATGAAACCGGCTGATTTAGAGGTTCCTATCTCTTTATTATAAGAAAGAATAGATGGTTTTTTTCTCATAAAAAGTATTGGAATAGAAGTTGATCTATGATGTAAACCAGGCGTTGGTATTAATGTAAACACTTCCATTTCTGTGTCAAACTATCATATGACCAACATCATTCAAGTTTGGCGCAAGCCAAATATTGGTTTCATTATTATCAGTGGCTGCTTCAGAATAAACATCTAGACCCTCTCTCTCTTTCCAAATTCTACAGCTTTCCACAACCCTGTGCTTAATGTATACACTAACACATCATTCACACCCCTCTTGGAGACCCCATATCAACCCCTACTCGGATCAAAATAAGACCCAGAAACAGAAATATTGATTATCTTGCAGTCATTAGCAATCGGGCTGAACCCAAATCCTAACGAATGAATCTGAGAATAAGCAGTTCTGGGTACCTCTCTGTCCTCCTTAATAGCTGGATTCCGCACTATAAGGTGTTGATAAGACAGTTCAACACAGAGCAGGCTATTGCCGGAACCGATGGTCCAAACATATGAGAAAGTATTGAGACTGGACGAGTAGTAATCGATCACAGGTGGGTTATGGACTTCACGTAGTTGAAAGTCGTGATCGAATGAGTACACGTACAACGGATTGTTTTTCTGATATATTAAAGTGGATCGAAGACTGGAGTGGTGGAGGTGATCTGCAATGAATAGTGGATCCTTCAAGAGATTTTTCCAATTTTTTTGCGGACACATTGAAATCAGATTAGGGATTTCACGGGAAGCCTATCGAGAATGTTGACGATGATCTCTTGGGGCAGATAAGCATTGGTGCCTTCCATTACTTTTGCTTCACAGAATTCGCAGACGAAAGAGACGGCGGCTGACATTCAAAGGTGTTCTTAATGGGTAGGGTTTGTTGGGTTCAGGCGTTCAGCTTCTGGAGAGTCGGTGCGGTAACCGGAATACATGAGTGTTAATAAAATAAATGCAAGAATTTCATTGCAACCCCTCTGTAGCTATGTATTACCAAATACGCCCAAAAAATTTTGATTATGAAATTTCATTGCATCCTATTAAACAAAAATAAAATAAAATTTTATAAGTGAAAAGATATTTTTATCCTTGCTTTACAAATAAAAATAATTTTTGTTTCTTGCAAATCACTTTTCATTTTAGATAATCTTGTATTTTTTATAAATTGCCTAATTTTTATTATAATTTTCTGTTTCTAATTTTCTTATGTTTCTTGAAAATCGTCTTATTATTTTTTTTTATAAATCTCTTTATGTCTCTTATAAATCAGTAATAGGTGATCCTCTTTCCATTTAAAAAAAAAGGAAAAGAAAAGGAAAAAGCATAAACGTCGTTTTACCCACAAAATTTAATTTCATTTTAGTCCAAATGTGCAATGAAATTTCATATAATATTTTGGGGCTTTTGGATATTAAATAGCTATAGAGAGGTGGGGTGAAATTTTCCCTCAATAAATTGTTGCATATTAGAATAGTTAAATGAATCACATCTTAAATATCCTATATTCCCTAAATAGTGTTTTTTGGGCCAAAAAACAAGTTAATTTTATTAATATCAAAAAGATTATTACAATCACTAATAGCCGAAGTCAGAAATAAACTTTGAAAAAAATCCTAAAATCACAAGCTAACTCACGAAAGGAAACTCACCAAAAACGAAAATAAGTAAAGCAAACAATAAAAGGTCTTAAAGGAAACATAGAACAACAGTCAAAAACAATTATCCAATGCCACTTCTATCAACTAAAGAATGAGTACAACTCTGCCAAGAATTTCTAAAAGCCGAGATATCAGCAAGCAAAATCTCAAGACAAATGAGAATGCGTCCTTAAGCCTTCCCTCCAGGACATATCCCCTTAGCATCCAAATTATATTAAAGCTGCTAGAAAATTTGCAGATATATATAGTTAAATAATTTTATCTATATTTTATTTTAATATATATTTATAGAATATATATGTGTGTGTGTGTAAAGCAATTGGGTTTGAAATTTAAATGTCAAATATTATTTTATAATGTTGTGCTTCAAGAACTGTTTCTTATAGGTTATAACAACATGCTTTCAAAATCAAGTTTAATAATTCAATTTAAATTAGTATTAAAATAATATAGTTAATCTAAGATTTTTGTTTTGATTGACCATA